ATTCCTGCTTTCAGGAACCTCTGCACTCCATGGTGATGGATGTTTGTCCTTGGCCACACTGGATGAGCTCCTCCGCTTACTGCAGGAAGGAAGAAAAAGAGAAAAAAAAAAAAAAATGACACTTGTAACAACTCACAGAGTTTCTTACAATTAAGCTTACACTTAACTACTGTGTGACTCAGAATGGGTCTGTAGCTGGATTTCATGGCAGGTGTGTTGAAATCTGGGTTATGCAAAAGTCTGGTCCCTTCTAGAGGCCTGGCATGTACTTGGTGGAAGCACACTGCAGCATGCTCAGACATAAAACAGATGGAGCAGACCACATTTGTGCCTGCTCTGCAGGGACTCCAAGGACAGGGAAGGCTTGACATGTGTATTTGATCTAACCTTAAACAAGTCCCAATTCTGGAAAGAAGGCCTCATTGTATCAAGTCCTACTCTGTCTTCCACCAACATACACTCAGCAGAAGAAACAGTGCAGAACTTCATGGCACTGTTAATGATACTCAGACTGAACAGAGAGGTTTCGATATAAGCTGGAACAGCTCTAAGCTGTAATTACAGGTTGCATGCCCCTACCAAGAAATCTTTCAAGACTTCAGGACCTTACTGCAGGACCTTCCCAAACATTTCACTACAGGGGTGCTTCTAAGGAACAGAATCAATGATGAGAACCTTGCCCATTTTCTCTGCTGGCCACCAGTAAGACAGTTTTAGGGCAAGTTATAAAACAGTCTAATAAAAGCTTCAGTGAGTTGCACAATGGGAGTCTGGAAAACAGTCTGCATTAGCTGAATATTACAAACTCTGGAATATTACACAATAATATATCCTGACAGGGAAGGGTCATAGCTCAAATACTGTGCCTTCATGACAAACTCACCCATGGTGATTCTGCTCCTCAGGCAGAGCTGCATCTATTCATATTGGCTTCTAGAGCTTTCCCTTACCCAGGCAACCTTCTGCTGAGGTTTTATACTCTGCTTTATCCTGCTACTTTTGCTGCAGCTGCTTAATAGTTGGTGTTTTTTCTTGTAGAATACAATATATTTCTAAGGCTGACATTTACCACACAAGGGTAGGTATACCCACATAGTTGTGTGCTACTTCACATGGCCAACTCTTAGCATCAATAGTGGTCAAGATGCTTATTAATGACTCATGTGACTTGAGCTATAGTTTGGCCAAAGTCTTTGATTTTCAGCTGGCAGGAAAAAAACAGTTATTTCCTAAACAGCTGTATAGAAACGAAAAATAGAAAGCAAGGAGGATTTGTAGCTATTGAAACCCATGGAAGACCTCCAGCTTTGGCACTAGAAGTTCCCATTTCTTCATTTCAATACCCCAAATTAACCATTGTTTAACATGCCCAGGGAAAAAACAGTGACACTAAGAAAACAATTAAAGAGCTGTGAATCCAGGCATCCCATCTCTGTGCAGTTCTGCCCTCTTCTGTTGTGTGACCTTGAATTTGATTACCTTGCGTAACTTCAATCATGCATGTAGTCAGTCATCCAGACTCCTTCTAACCAATGGAGAGATCCTGACTATTGACATGGCCCAGAAAATGCCAGTCCCTCTGTACTGACTAAGGAGGACCCTTGAGAAGCCACCAACCCCAGGATTCCCCCATGCTGCCTGATGGGCTCTCTGGTGGAAGGCATGGGCCCCACCTTCACTCTCAGACTCTCAAACTCTGGCCAAGAGGGATTTTGAGGCTCTGACATAGCCACTATGGAGCAGCCTCTCACCTGAAAGCAAAGATGAGCCACCAAGGACCTTTTATGCGAGATGACCAGATTCTCAGCTTTCCATTAACCAGCCAGGCCTTAGAGTAGCATGTTCCCCAGGGGTGTGCCAGAACCAGGGAGCCAGGATGTAGAAACAGCTCTGGCTGGCATGTCTCAAAGCAAATGCTACTTTGGCTTCAACTGGAACATCACTGAAATTGAAATGCCTCCACTGAACATTTCAATTTCAACAAACCGAAATTCCAACAAAATGTGCCCAGCCAGCTCCACAATGCAAATCTACATGCTTTTGTGGGCAAAAATTGTTTCTTCATTTTCATCTGTTTCCCAATGTTTGATGACTTGCAGAGAGGACACCCATTCTGGTTGGCACCTGGAGGATCTACTGAAACAGTAGTCACTCTAGAGCAAGTATACCTCAAACCAGAGCTGTTGGAGAACGTTTGCCACTTCCACTCAAAGCATCCTGAGCCGATGACTGCAGTAGCAGATGGGCATGCTGGTCTGCTCTTGATAGGAGTCTTATCTACTGACACCCTGCAGGACCTCACTCACAAAGTTTCTTTGCTCTGAGCTGGGTGAGCAGAAGAATTTTTCTCTGGGAGTAAAATTCTCTTCAACTATCAAGCCTAGATCAATTGACACATTACTAATAGCTGTTCCTAATAGGAACATTTTTTGTATCCCATGTTGCAGCCTATATTCTCATTTCAGAGCGTTCAGGTATCTGAGACTATATCTGTTATAGCACACATCCAAGACGTGTCTGTTGTGGACACACACATACATGGCTGCTCCTTCCACCTCAAAGCAAGTTTTACTTTACAGCTTGTAACACCCAGATGCATTCAGATTCCCTTACAGTCTGAAAGATGAGATGTCATTAAGTCTTGGCAGCAGATCTTCTGGTGTGTATGGTGTGTCTTTACATCTGGCATCTGAATCACACAGCACAGTTTGCAGGAATGGGAAGAAGCCTGTACTAGGAAGGTTTCGGGGTGCAAGATAACCTAGAGGAAGGAGAAAGAAAATGCTGTTGTTACGATGTGGACGTGCACTTTTTTGCCTTTTGTTTCTATCAGTATATGTTATTTTCTCTCCCTAAACCATGGGCTTGATTCTCACTTTCTCTGACACTCTTTTACACCAGCCTGGCAGCACTATCTGCCAAACCCCACTGGAAAACCTCCTCAACACTGACAAAGCCATGAAAGGCTATTTAATAGGGGGCGGTGGGGCGGGGGGAGAAGTCAAGGTATTTGGTTGTAAAATACCTGTTAGTCCCAAAGCAATGGCAGATTTCCCATCCCACCCCAAAATGGGTAGAAACAGGCAAGAAATTACAAAAGCACCCTAGGTTTATATGCCAATACCGCCTTTTTGTAAATAAATAAACAAAAGCAGGCATGCAGCCAGCATAACCTGAAGCACCCATAAGAGCATGTTCTCCAAGGCTTGGTTGGATCAGTTTCTGTGCAAAGCCACAAGCTTCAGTTTCAAGCCAGGTTGTTAAAACAGGGCTCTGTCTCAGCTTTTACGACAGGAAGGGCCAATGGATCCAGGACCAGACACAACCTCCTTTGCTTTTTGTGCAGACCTGCCCAGGGAAGGGAGAGGAGCGATCTATCACCACCACCCGCTCCATGTCTCCTGCCATGTCAGAGCAGCTCCCGTACCATCTGCTTGGTGACCTGTGATGCTGGCAGCCAGCACTGAGAGGCAAGATATATGTCCCTGTCTCCCATTTCTGCAAATACAGAGTGGACCCGAGCAATTAGAGACGTTAGTATTTTATGTGCCACTTGCCCCGTGCTGCTTACTGCCAGCCCGCAGAGTTCACCAGCTGCTTTTTCTCTCAGTGACAAACGCTCTAATAAATCTCAACACTCTCTTGCTGGATCACAGCAACATATTATTTAAAATAATCATGTGGAAAATTACCTGGCAAATGACATTGCTATTATTTCTTCTATGGAAAGGAGCCAGATTTACAAAGGCCCACAGGCAGGCTTGTGGTAATTGATTACCTTGCTCTTTAGTCTCCAAAGACAACCTGTGACTCTTGCCCAGGCACAGCTTTATCTCTAACCTCTCCAACAAGGACACCGTACTACGTTTGTACTACATTTATTAATTATAGCAGCGGTCAAGAAGCAGATGTTCCCAAAGGGGATGGCAGTGCTAGGTGGAGTATGTGGCTGTCTGTCTCCTTGAAGGAGGCTTGACTTTCCTGAGCTTTCTTCAGAACAGTTGGTCACAGCCCATGAGCATGCACCTGCATTTTTTGGTAAAATGCAAAAGCTCATTTTTTAGCAGGGGAGCTCCCACTGCTTTGGACCAGATAGCAACTGACACCAAGGATTGCTGAGACCTGCAGAGTCAAAGGCATCCATTTTGAGCATCGTTGTGATTCTCTTGTGTATCTCAGCAGAGAATTGCCCTAGAAAATGAAAGGAGATTCCCTGCCAGGGAAGAAGGCTAAAGCTGTACCTGCTGTGGGAAGCTCCCCCAACACTCACCACATCCCCCAGTCCACCGGGATTTACACGGGAGGCTGAGCCCACAGAGCATCAAGGAGAGTAAAAGATCTCTCATGCCCCTACGGGCAGGCCTTCTGGTGTTGGGGCAAAAGGACCAAACATACACCACTCTAAAGGTGTAATTAAGTCTGCTGCCTATAAGGGAAACTTTAGAGTAGGTCACTTTAATCTGGAAGCATCCTTGTGTGAATATCCCCTGCTGTGTCTGGGCTGTTTGCCCTTTGAGAGCACCAATTACAACCCTGCAAAATGGCGTTTTGCGCACACTAGCATTTTTCTTTCATCTTCCTTCTTATGTCCCACAACCTCATTCCCATGCAGGAAATTGACTCACACCCGAATCCAAAAAAATGCACACCACAGACCTCACTTTATCATGTCTCTACCAAAATGCAGTTTCAAAGACCTGAGAAGCCATGAGGTTCAGGATGGAGAGCATAACCACAATGAAGCGAGACATGTAGGAGCTAGGAGGGAAATGGCTACACCCTCTGCTGCCATCCACATCTACCAACCACAACCAGGGCCAGGAGCTAAGCTCATGTATGTTAGAAGCTGTGTAGCTTCTAACTGGGCAGCAGAGTGGGGAACACAAGGATGGGGCTGGGAGCTTGGGGAGCACTGTTCTTCTCTGGAGAGATAAGAGGTGTTTTACAGAGACAAATATGCAAGAGATCCTGCTGGATCTAGAGCAGGGGAAGACACTTCCTTGAGATATAAGTAGCAATAACAAATTCTCAAACTGGACTCAAAGGTGGTACACTTTTAACTAAGTGGACAATTAATCAGTTGCTGTATCACAAGCGACATGTACAGTGTAAGAACAGGGTGATGACGCCAGCTCTTTCTTCTCTTGTGGGACAGCAGCCTGAAAAATAGGCCTTTGTGACCTGAAGTTTGCAGGTGCTGCTACTGATGGTAGTGACATGATGCCTGTGAAGACAACACTGGCCCAATGCGATTGAGGTATTCAGTGAGGCTCTGCCAACTCACACCATATCTTGAGCAGTTTGGTGGCACCTGGTTACAACCACGGGGCCTGATCCACAGCTGAGTCACTGCAGGCGTAAACTAGTGTAACTCCATGATGTTCTTGGCACAAAAGCAGTGGAGATGCCAGAGAGGACTTTTCTGGAAGAGGCCTGGACTGTGACAGCAGTTAGAGAATTAAGGAAGTTTAAGAAAGACCATGACACAAAAAAATCTGGAACGTCTGGGCCAAATTCCCATTTGGTGTTAGACCTATGCTGTTTCTTAAGCCTGATTATCTAGCACAACCATGCTCTCTGTCAAGCACGCAAATAAGACTCAGGCTTATACATCAGGATGAAATGAATTATTGTGTTGGCTCTTCTGCCTGCATTGATGAGATCTCCACCAACTCCAAAGAAAGTTTAAAGACCTGGTTCAGATGCAGGCACCCCTTCCACAGACACCTAGCTCTGGGGGAGATTGAATGCCACCCTTGCTTTCATATGGGGTGAGATGGTGGTGCTGAAGAAGCTACACAATGCACGCTGCCACCTTCATGCACCAGCCCCACCAAGCCAATAACAGGGTGGCCAGGCTGGTGTGACAGGTCTGTCCTTCAGGGGCCATAGAGGCCAACAGCTTAATTTAATAGAAGCAGAGGAGCGCAGCCACAGGAAGCTCAGCTTCTGACTATGCTGTCTCTGTCCAGTGTGCCTCAGGTCAGAGCAGAGCCAGAGCATCAGGCACCATGCAGGAAGCATGGCTGATTTGGGAGTCCAAGCCCTAGACAAACAAAGCATGGCCTCAGAGCTCTTTCCTGTAACACCCTGCAAAAGAAGGAATTTACTGCTGAGAAGGTGAGTCAAGAGATTAATGCACTCCCTGATCCATCCTCCTGCCCTCCATCTACTTGCTCGTGGTAAGGAGACGTGACTCCACAGAGCTATGCGGGCTGCTCTGCCCACACATAAATTCATTACCTGTGTCAGTCTGTACGTCACTACAAGGACAGCAGGGAAGGAAGCTGGCTCCTGCTCCTGACTCCCTTCAATGCTTCAGAAGATGTTTGTAACTACCTGTCCCTCCCTTGGCTGAGATTTATCCAGCACATCGGCTACATTAGTACATAACATAAGCACTAGCTATGAAACATTATTGAAGGAAAGTTGTAATTGCTCTGCAAATTTTAAAGGACAGGCTTTTGATGGGGATAGTTTCACATTCTGGAACATAACACTTACCACCATTGGTGACTTTTGTTGTATTTCTACTGTTGGGAATCCCTTCAGTCTTAGACATGCTGCAGAAGGCAGCTCCTTCTCCCACTGAAGTCTACAGCATGCCATATCCAAGAAATATGGATTTCCCTAGCTCTGTAGTCCCCAACTTCATGATCCCACATTACATGATGGAGCAGATCCACAACACATGACAAAACTTTTCATTCTCGGCATTGCCTTTAGTTTTAAACCTCTCAATCTCCTAAAGTTACAATTAAATTACCTTTGGAGGGTCCTATGACACTGCCTATGAGCCAAGAGGGAGAGAACACTGCACCCACTGCCACCTTATGTCTGAGCTGAGAGGTCACCCTAGCATATTTTTGGTCAAACTGACTTGTCTGCAACCACAAATCTGAGCCTAGATCTGTATCGTGTTAGTAAAGACTGACTCCTGGGTTGCCAGCAGTAGAATCCCAAGCGCAGAGGCTTTTGCTGTCCCCTGTCGCTGAGAGCTTTGATTTTCTGTCACCACTGAAAGGGCGGCACCACATCTGAAGAAAACAAGACAGGCATCCCAAAGGGCAGAAGAGCACTGCATGGGCTGGCTGGTTCTCCCTGCTTAGTAGCATCTAGCCAGGCCAGCAACATTGCCAAGAGCTAAAAAGATATAAGGTATGCACAGCAGTAATAATAAACACAAGATACCTATAATAAATACATGCACGCTGCTGGAAATTCTGGCATTTCCACATTCGCTTTCATTTGGAATAAAATGGAGAAAATTAGGTTCTCTTACTTCCCTGAATGTTGTAAATTCCAACATACATCCCTTCAACACAAGCAAAACATTTTGTTTTCTTCAGGTAAAGGTGCTTGGTATAATAACAAAGAAAAATGTCAGGGTAATAATAAATGTCATACAAGAAAGATGAAAATTACTATTTCACTACAATCTATAAGATTAATTGAAATTGACTGAAATGTTTAAATCTAAATGGACCATGTTTTATGTTGCCACATTGATTTTGCTGCTTTCACCGCACTGAGGCTTCAGGCACTTGCACTAGTTGTGTCCAACCATTCATTCATGGAATTGGGTGTTTCAGTGAACCACAGGCACAGCACCATGAACGCAGCCCCCAACGTCACCCCCTTCAGCCTGAGGCAGCAAGGCTGCCTGCCCCAAAGGAGGGAAGAGCTGGGAGGACAGCAGCCGTTATTATCCACACTAGAGCAAAGGAAAGTAAGTAAGTAGTATTTTCAGGTTAACACTTC